TATTTTTCAAAATGGTTAGAGTATATCATATCTAATCGATAGAGAATAGATTCAAAGTGTACTTCAGGTACATGTATAAAGATTTATGAAATGGTAAAAGGATGACGTACAAACAAGTCCAATTAGAAATTAAGTTTAAATAATACAATTGCTGGTAAATTATATAATGCGAAAAGAAATCGAAGCGCAGAATTGTCGATTCTGCGCTGTCGATTTAATTGTCTGTCGTCGATTGTCAATCGAAGTGTGCGCGCAGAATAAAATTTAACATAATTGTTCGATGTAGAACTAATGCAGAATTCGTGATAGATTAATTCATGCAAAATTTAATTGTATTTTTAAAACAGAATTTAATTGAATAATTAACGATTTGAAAAAGTGGCTCTATGCTTGTCAGAAGAACTCTGCGACGTGAGCACCGAGCACAACACTCAGACGAATTAATGGGTAACATTGTCAAAACATTAAAAAATTGTTAAAACATTAAAACATTGTCAAAACATTAAAACATTGTCAAAAAATTAACACATTGTCAAACCCATGGCATAAGCAGAGAGCGGACATAGTACTGATACGCCATTAATTATGCTGAATCAAAATGGGTCAGTATTACCCTTACTAAGGCCAAAACTGCTGTTTGGATACAGTTCCACTTATTTCTGTGAATGTGCTTTTATTTGCGGCCAATACACGTCATAATTACGAAGCCAATTAACATACTGGAATGACACATAATTTTTGGCTTCACCGTAGGTAAGCGCCATGAGGCGGCGCAAAACTCAATAAAGTATGTAGTTTATGAGCGGACATTACACGCAAGAAAGGCACATGATGAGAGCTCTGAAGCTGAGGTTCCTAGCCAGCCTGCAGATCTAGGGACGCACGAGTCTTGAAAGTTAATGCTCAAGTAGGTTCTAGGAACTAGGTAAGTCTAATGCAGGGCTTTTAATTCCGCGCAACTACCTCCATCATACCATAATTCAATCTGCCGAACGCTCTTTCAATTTGTGTTTTTGGCTGAAGTTTTTTAAGGTAGGTACCTCTATCGGGGAGGCGGGGGGTTGCGTGGCAGTCCTATGCATGGGGAAGAGTAGGGGAGTGGAGGGGCGCAGCATATCAGAGGTATGGGCTACACAAGGGTATTCTGTTGCCAAACACTCTTTACTTTGCGTTACCATATTCTTACATTATTGCATGAAGTTGGTGGCTCCATTCAAGGTGAATTTTATCGATCAGATTTATTTTTACATGATTTCTATATACATGATATAATAGGAGTTCATTGTGCAAGTTTACAGTTAGAGTATATTATTATTATAAATGCTTCGCGCGCTGAAACGACTGTTCTAGGTGTCAATATAATACAAGGAGGGTGATGAATTCAGAAAATTTATTTTAAGCTACGTGGGCGTTACCAAATTTGTTCAATAATGTTTACCACATTTCAACTTTAATCAATGAGATGGTGATCTATATATATTTGAAGTATTTACGTAAAGAATTGTTCGTACATAGTTTAAAAGAAACTAAATAATGCAGAAAGATACAAATATATTAGGTATTATAAGGCTAAGTACGATGTACTCAAGTTGAATTATAAACAGATTGTCGAGAAAGCTGTTGCTAACGTCGTATGTTGCAAGTGATTGAGACGACATTGTCGTACATTTGGCAACTGGCGGGGATCGGACGAGACAGCGTGGCCACAGCTACAGCTTCAGGCAGCATATTTTTTGTTTCTTTTTATTGCTTATGCTGCAGTTGAGGTGGTCGCTCTGGAGTGGGAGGTGGGGAAGAGAGCGCGGTATTAGAGAGAGGGTGTAACTAGTCAACCCTCGCACTATTCTTGCCGCTCGTCTACCAAATATAAGCCAGTTTCCAGCACTATAAATCAAGTCCAAGTTCTTTGCGTTCAATTCGTTAGACTATACTTGTCCTTGAAGGTATAAAAACTGCTAATGATTAATGTCTGGTGCGATAATTTTACTGCCCTGCGTCGTACCTGATTTGATGGCTCGAGTCTAAACTTCGGGTGTGGATTAAAGAAAACGAAATATTATGCATACTTTTATGAAAAATGTGTATCATTTCTTCAATAAAATCTCAATATGACTTATTCTAAGGTTGAATTTGCTAGTTACGAAAGGATTCAGTGGTAAGTGTGCAGACTGGTAAAACTTATACTGAACATATCTACGACCGCCTGGCAACGTCATTGAGCTAATTTCTTAAAATTTTATTTAATATTTATCTCATCATCGGGAATATTCTAGAGGTCGTTGTCCGTCAGCTTGAACAAATTTTGCACTAATGCAATATTCTTTTTATTAAATGTTTTATGAAGAAATAGGATTCTTTTATAAAGAGAGACCATTTTTTGGATTGGACAAATACTCTGGGTAGCAGAATTGAGCGCTCTTGTCTTTCGTATTCTCAGTCTTTACTCAAGGCGTCGTCGACAATATCAGCAGTTATCAGTAGTAACCGCGCCTTCAGATACGAAAAGCATTGACGACTGGCAATATATTCGTAGACAAAGAGGTTTTTATCTACTGTAGGTAACTCTACCACGACGGCTATTTGATACGAATAGCCTTGACAGTTGCTTGGTCATCAGATACGAATGACATTGACTACGGTTAATAGATCCGTTTGGAAATGGCAAAAAACTAATCACACACGAAGCCCATACGTGCCGTTGAGCATACAGGCTTGCTCCAGCCACTTCTCACTTTGGTTACACACGTCAACATTGAGGTGACCTCACAGGCTCACACTACCACACCACCGCGGCTCACCTCCAACGTGGCGTGATCTGCTGGAACAAGACGGGAAATGCCGTTCGTACTCAAGCGGTGCGAGTTTTGTGTTGTACTAATATACATATTTAAAAGTAATTATCAGCCACGGAGATGATCTAAACAATAACTTATATGCCCAAACGTTGTTTACTGATAGGATCTTATGTGACTTGTTGAAATTCACTCCCCAAAACTATTCTCCCCAAAAGAATTAGCGGCTGGTTTATAATGGTTGACGCAAGGCTCGGTCCACAGCCTGGCTGAGCTCAGGTCAATTTTTCTCGTCAAATTCCGAGAAGGTGATCAATTAGCGCTACAATTTATTGCGTTTTTTCTTTACCTTAGCTGTACTACGAAATTTCTCTAATTCTGATGCTAGCGAACTATAGAAATGAGCCGGTTGAAAACCTCAAAGTCAAAGCAGGGCTGATAAATCGTCAAGTTTTGAGAAGATAATTTCCATAAAAATGTTATTTTTAACGGATCGTAATTCAAGATTTTGTCCCTGAATTTCATGTAATGAATGTTACTGAGAGAATTTTACTTAATTTTCTATGGAAATCAACTAAAGAAGCCTCTTATAATGTCTATGCCATCATTACACGATTAGTATTAGTCTTCGCAACAGATTAATTTCCATTTGGAACGAATATTTGTTTTTCAAATATCCCTGCATCTGTAAGGAGTTAGTGTGGGTTAGTGTGGAAGCTTCACAAATCAAACGTTAAGACAATAAATAAACGTTCTTCGCTTCAAATTGATAGGAAGTCAGTAAATCGATCGATCACACACACCAGTTCAGTTTCTCGAAAAGTGCGTAGGTGTATTGTTTTGCCTTATCTCTTCTTCCTTCTGTTGCGTATCCATGCCCAACCCGTGTTAGTGTTACGCAAGCTTTTCAAGGCCAGCAGAAGTCCCGCCTGAGGCGTTAGTTTGAACAGATGAGATCATGACAGCCAAATTGTACGATTTACTCGTAGATGGACTTGGAGATCAACGACCGCTGGTTTAAAACGTAAAAACTGGATGGTCATTCAGAAAAATTATGCATATAAAAGTTGAGTTTAGTAAAAAGAGTATCAGATTTTCACATTCTATTAAAAAGAATTAAAATGTGCCGAAAAATCGATTTGGATACAAATACAGAATTAAGTTCCCCTAAAATGATTCCGCTCATTTTTATCGCACTATTTTATTTTAGAAAAGTGCAATGACGAGTTTGCGTGGGATGAAGGTCATGGAATGTATAATAATAAGAGAAAAAATAATGATTATGGTATTGATCACCAAGCGAAGAGACTTCCACGAGAGCGATGCAGACGCTGAGCAGTGTGAGAGATTCTTTGACAGCTCGACACAACAGATGCTTGTTCTACCCCAGGTGATGGATTTTGCCTGCTGTTTTGTCTAGCTTTATGATGTAGCAGCCTCTTGGAGCTGGCGAGAAATATCTCGATAAAGGTTCTAGAGTCGTTTAGATTATCGCATTATTCTTAAATGCACAATAATGAATTAGAGTATCAATCTAGGAAGGAAAAATTCAAGTTTGAATAATAATTCGGACTTCTCATTTAACTACATTTTTGCATATGCCACTGATAAGGAGGCATGAGTTTAGATGTTTGGTATTAAAAAAGAAAAGTGTGAGTGTGGCTTCATTGTGAGAATTTCATTAGTACAAAGATCTTTGCAGCTAGAAATTAGAATAAAAATTCGTCGTCCGGACTAGGCGTTGTAAATATCGATGTAATAAATACTTTGTTGTAGTACCAAACAACTGTTGACATGTGAAGAGCAGAAATGGAGGATGATTAGTTCCCTGCAAAGAGCAGGGAACGCATGAATGACGTTATTATGAAGTCGGTGGTTGGTTGGTCATGTGTGGATGGTGTACGTGTGTACGACGGTGCGTGCGTTCATATTGAGCTTTTGGGGGATAGTGGCTACAACACTCTATATAGAGGGAAAAGGAAGAGAGAGCAATTATACTATGTGGGATTATTGGTAGTATTAGTAGCATATTGACTTTGGTGTGAAGAAGTGTTAGTGTGTATTGACAGGGTAGATTAGCTGACAAAGCGCACACCGCTCGAGCGTGCAGCACAATCTGCGGCAGCAACAGCAGGACTGACTGCCTGTGACGCAAGTCGGAGCCTAGGCTTGGCTGGCTGTACGCGGGTATTCGCTCCGCAAGCGTTGTGTGAGTAGCAGCTGTGTAATCTGCTCGTACAGAACTGTGTCTGCTAGTGAAGCTTGCCTGAGCTGTCATTAGTTTAGTGCATTTGAAAGTGAATAGTATTTGACATTCGATGTATTTGCGCTGGATTCGTGTAACTTTTTTTTAGTGCATCTATTTTGCAATTGAACACCTTAAGCTGAAGCCTGAAACTTAGTACCTAAACGCTAGGCGCAGAAAAGCCTTGTGCGTTAATTTAGTAATCGGAAATGATGTCTTACGTTATGCACCAGCATTTGAAATGACTTTAAGGTCCTGATGTGTAATTTTTATTCGACGTCTGCCGATGGAATTTTTCTCGCGAACTTTTGATTATTATGAACTGAATGATGTCTCATTGATTGAGCTGCGTGTGACAATATTTGAGGAGACTCGTCTAGTGGCCATCACTTGATATGTAAGTATTAATTTCAGACGACCGAAAATTATATTTAATATGGTATTAACCTAAGCAATTTTTTATGAATCCAGTCTGAATAATATTAGGTTCGTTTATGAAGTAGTAAAAACTTGGGTACCTATTTAAACTTTAATATCTTCGTTTCATTTGACATGTTACTTGCTGAATCCTGTGAAAATTTGCATTCAATCCTGTTGTTTTTGATCAAAGTGAGTGAATGTTTCACTTGCTGAATTGGTGTAGCTAAATGGTCAAAAACGGCGAGATTTGTCATTTTTTGTCGGTTTTAACGACAAAATTTTGTGTGAACTCGGACGTAGGTACCGAGCACTGACAAGCTGTGTTGTATACCTAGTTTCGAATGCAGAGCAAGTTTTACCAGCTTGCAAAATAATTTAAACATTTATTTGTTTCACTCTAAAGTCTAAACAAGTTTGAGTAGCTAGTCAACAAGTATTATCGTTATGCTGGTGGTCGGCAGCTTACCTAATTTTGTTTGTATAATTTGATGCTAATTATATTCATGTATTCATAAATTATTGAGAGAAAATGTAATCGGTACCCTTGTCACTTTGTCAGGCTTGTGCACTTTATAATCTACTTTTTATTTGATGATACTAGATATTTTTACTGTACAATCTTCTTTATTTTGATCATAATATTCTTTAAAAGTTACGTCTTTTCTTTCGTCACGAATTTGAATTGGGTACCTCAGTAATAGCCCAGTGGTTCATTATAGTATTATTGGACAGACAAGAACAACTGAACAAGCCTTTGAGATATATCTGAGCATGAGTAAGAAGCAGCCAACTCACACCTGGCTCTGGTTGGGACTGTAGCTAATCGACGAAAAACGTCTCTGAGCCGTCAGTGGCTGTATCAGGCGGCATTCCTGGCCTCAACTTTCTGTCGAACGACCGGAACTGCTGGAAGGAGCGGGTCAGATGGCGTCGGCGAGGACTGACGCTTCGGGTGGTTCTTGGCTGGTTGTGTCGGTCGGTCGGTGCCAGACTTGATGACACCATTCCGCCTCGACTGATGAATGCGGAGTCATTCATAAAGGCTTTGCTCTTTGCTGAAAATACTTCAAATTCGTTCTGCTGGAATACAAAAATATAATTGTAATGAACTTGGGACACTTGTTATTGAACGCATTTTAATTTCAGCCGCGGGATTTTGAAATTATTTTTGCAACTGGCATAAACAAAAGTTTTTAATTGATTTCAACTTGGTAACAATTATGTAGAGGAGATGTTGATTCTGGATATAAGAAACAATGCTTTTGGAGATAATTTTATTTAGCATACTTCTAAGTTATCAGTTATGCCTAGCTAAGCTAGCTTCAATTTTTCGATGCCGTTGTTCATCTTTTGTGAGAAAAAATTATTTTAATGTTCTTTCAATGTGTTTTAATTTAAGGAACGTATAATTGTACATTGTATATGCCTAAGCAATACAACATAATTGCAAATTATGGATTCAGGAAAATTTTACAATTTTGCCTCTGCAAAGTCAGACCGGAGATGCTCTTATCATATTTCTCTCAATTTTGTTGGAATTTCTATAGTTTGTTTCATGCAAAATATATGTTCTGGCAATGAAAGACATACCGTAGTTTATAAGTGACTTTGTTTAAAATATGTTTTGTTATTAAAAACTACAATTTTGGAAGGCCATTAGAATTGACTGCTTAATGTATTTCGCATCTTCACGTGACTCTGGCCCGCTTCTTGTTTAAGAATATATACATATATATTTAAGAAACTTTGACGGATGTCGACTTGGGAAGTGCGCCGCCCGCATGCCCGTTTGTCACGTACGGCAAATAAAATGCGCTGATGAGTAAAAAAATGCGTTTGGGTCATGTGCCTTCTGGCCGCGGGGATGCTCTTAGCCTCTTCCACGAATCGTAGTTCAACAAACCGTAATGCTGTGGCTACCTGTATAAGTGCGTATTATGCCCATTATTTATTGGTAAAATTGTATGTGTTCGTTCTTTTTTTCACTATAAACAAAGAAGGTGACTGTAAGCAGAGGATCTTTTGTGAAGACCTACTGGGACTTGTAATATCCGAAAGTCCAATATTAATTCTTGGTATAATGTTTTGGTTAGGTCTCAAACATACTGTAGTAGTTGTTTGTGGTAGGTACAATTTGTTCCTTATTCGGTGTACATACTATTAATATCGCATCTTGCTGAAATAATGGAAAAAATTCATTTCTTTTTCAATTTTTATTTTTCTATGCAATACCTATATAGGATAAGACGTTCATCTTTAACAATTGTTATTGATGTCTAAGGAGTTGAACCATACATAGACTTGGGTTATTTCTGACGAGTATCTGAAATTTCCAGGAAACTGATGGTGGGAAATGTAATAGAACAGTTCGAGAGTGTAAAAGGTGCTAAACTATATTTCACTGAATTCGCTGTCGTTTTCTCACTCTTCTGCCCTGCCGCTCAAATACAAGGCACTGGGAGTTCTAGCCAAGTTCATGAGGCGTGTGACTCACGAGCTTCTCTTTCTCAGTGCCATTCCCTTATCTACTCGGTAATCTCGTTGCATGCGAGTGAGGTCTCTTTACCACAGTCCACTAGGATTGACATCTGACAGCAGGTTGGTAAACATTAGTGTAATGAGTCATCACTAAGCATGAACTTACAAGATCTCGCAATCGCCGCGTTGGACTCTTGAACAGTTGCAGCAGTTGGCAACCAAGTTGAGCGGTCGGTCAGCTTTGGCGCGTGGGTTCCCCCCTTTTACACCCCTGCTCCGGCTGTCGGCTAACCCCCTCCAACTCGCTCTCCCTTACCCCTGAAGGCATGGCTTAGTGCTGCACCCTCTACTCCCGCAGCCGCGCTGTCCCCACTCTCACCCCTTCTACCCCGACAATGCACTGCAACCTGCCAGACACTGTGGCTACACCGCCTTGCTTCCTACCACCTGTGCTGAGCTTGTGTTGTCTTCATGGCACTAAGTATACTGACCACTTCAACTAGTTTCGCAATGGTATCCTCTATTATCTTGAAGATAATCTTTAAGATAAATAAGCTCATGATTTAACGAGCTCATGATTTTTCAGCTTTACGGTTCAAGTTCGTGTAATAATAATCTAGATCCTGCAATTCATCGAGAATCGAGTGGCGTAGCATATAGTATATACTGATAAACTATTTTCTATTCTATTGCCCACACGAATTAGTCGTAATTGTACTCATCGTGGATACAAGATATTGAATGGGTTTATTTCGTAACTGTTGTAAGCTAAATTATATAATGTAATGAAAATCGGGCCTAGTATTTGCCATATCCACAAATAAAAGTTATTACTTTTTCAAGAGCGATTTATTCTGACATTTAGCTCAACTTTGTCTTGAGTGAGAAAACGACATTAAATTATATTCTCAGTTTGCCTACTGCTATTTCATGGAACGCATGCAACACTATCGCCTCGAGATTGATAACAAAGAGTAGTAATATTATTGGATATTCAACAGTTGCGATACTTTATTTTGATTGAAGCGACAATATCAGCGATGAATTTTCCTGATACTGGCGGAATAAGGAATTCAATGATGAATTGGGCTTGTTTAATGGAAGAACGTTTCCAGCTCGTGTCAAGTTGATGCTTCCAGTCCAGGATGTTATATGACGACAAAGGCGCGGACTATTACTATCCCTAATAATGTGGATGCAACAGTAGTGGTGCCGTTTTCGTCCGTGACATTGCAATGGACTCGAGCGAGCGGTTCAGGGCCATGTGTAGCATATGTTGTTGCAGCTGCTGCCTCATGATCTACGTATATCTCTCTCTCTCTCTCTTCTAAATATCTCTCTCGTAGGAACAGTGTGAGCTTCATGACGATATGGCTTTACACTATCATGTCACGATTGGGGTTGATAGTCATTTGGTAAAAGTTGAAACTGCTCTACTGTCAACTTATTCTAAGCATAGTCCTGGTGCTCATCAGAAAGTTGGATTCACTTGACATTGCCATACTATTTTTAAGGATAAGGTTTATATTTTTGCATTCAATTTCAAGGAAACCAGCTAATTCTCTTTAATCGATTTCACAAATTTCTTTGATGCGATGCAGTTCATTTTGTAGAGATTAATGTTAATGGAAGGTTTGAAAAACGGTGTTATTTATTGAGTATAATAATATTGAAATTTATGGTTTTTTAAAAGGAAAAAAGATCTGTTTAAACTTCAACTTTGGTTAGTGTAGATTTTTGCTTGGTGATGAAAGATTCGTACGGATATTCATATTTTTAAATTAAGGGTTTTCACTCCTCGGAAAATGGTAAAATTATTCGAAGCTTTTAGATAATGCGTGACTTGTCTCGTGAATTGGAGAAATGCACGTGCTCTGAGAAAGTACAGTATATAAACCGTTGGTATAAAATTAGTGATGTATCGAATCACAACACCTGTATCAATTTTACCGATCGTGCGACCTATAATTTGAAGCATGGCTGCACCTCGATATTCAACGAACTCTGCCCTCGGCAGCTGTGCTAACGAACTAAGCTGGGCTAGTATGTAACGTTGAGAGGCTTCCTAGAAGCCATCACTTCATCCTCTTGAAACATCAGGTGGTCACGCTCTAGACTTATCGGTCGACTACTCGTGTTTGGTGCCTAACTTCTTCACCTGCTGAGATTTAATGCAGGTGGAGAGCAATGACTTGGTTGAGTTTAGTTTCCGTAGCTTGACCAGAGTTGACCTACGGACCTGGACACGGCACTCTGTAATCGAATCGTGACACGCTGTAGCCTAATTGAAATTATAAATTTTATGTTATAAATAATATTGTGAACCCAAGTCTTTCGCAATAAAAACAGATATAACATGAACTTTTAAAGGGCGCGTACTATAATTTAAATTTGTTCCTGCAAAGGGGGGCAAAGAAAGCGTGTTATGTACGGTTTTTCGTGGAGTGTTTGTCACAATTAAGGCTATTCATTAATATCGGTAATAGAAATTATTCTATTCCGTTTCAGATGGGAGGTAGAAGGCAAGAAGGAATGTGAACAAAATGGGAAGTTGTCCTAAGTTGTGCCTTCGCTGGAACAATCACTCTGCCAACCTCTTGGAGTCTCTCAACTGCCTTCTCTCTACCGAGCAACATTCGGACGTCACACTCGCCTGCCAAGGTAAGCCAAGACATGTCAGAGTAGGGCAATACTTGGACAGTGAAGCGTTTTGTCTTCTATTTTTACATAGTAAAGAATTGTCTATAAAGCGTATGCTTCAACAGAAAAAAAGAAGATGTAAATAATCCATCTCCTAAATACTATACTATGGCGCGATTAAGTTACGTCAGATTATAATTATTATTAAGTTTGATGCAGCAGTTATACTCTTCATTAGAATCTGGAGAAGTTTGGATTTCAAGCAAACCCCGTAATTTTACACAATATTTTTTCTCTTTCATACAATATTTCGTATTTTAAAGCACTTATTAACAACTCTATTTAATTGCTGTTGGTGCGCAGGTAGCGATAACAAGTCTGATTACGTGTGCCTGACGTTTTTTCCCACTTGAAAATTGGCTCACTACTCTAAGTGGTTGAATGAATACTTTATATCTGAAAGAAAACTTTTATTACTCTCTTCGCCACTTCAATCAAGAACCAACATTGTGTAAGTGAACACTGTCTCTTCAATAAGTATTCAGCCAACATGGTGACGTCACTGAATACGCCACCGTGTAACGTCTGTCATCCTCCCTGGCGCTTTGGTGACATCATTACAAGTCACTTCTCAGATCGCTTTACTAAATTCTTGCGCCTCTTACCTCATCACGTTTCTCTAATTTAGAATATTTAAATAAAACTGTTGTCATTTGTACGGATCACTTGGAGGATATTTTATTTTGTTTATTTACTAAATTACCTGGATAGATTTCAGTGTGCTCCTGTTGTCCGTCATATTACTATGCTTGAAGAGAGGCGAATCACACGTTTAACAACTGTTAACAAAGTGATCAATTAATTAGTCTGTAATTAATGAACTAATTTGTATGATTTACTTAATGAACTACAAAACTAAGTTATTATTAAGTAATTAGCTAATATATTCTTACATCCTTCTAAAAAATATGTTCCGATTAGCAACGATATATCTGTTGCTGCTTCAATTCCTAAGGATATGAGGACTGCACCTAGTTTGGTGACTCTCAGTTTTGCCGTGCAGGAAGCAGGATAGGTCGACGACCTTCTTCTCAAGTTTTGTGCATCGAATTAATTAAAATTCGGGGCAGGGACGACGTACAATCAACTGCCTACACTCTCGGAATGACATAAATATACGTCTTAATCTTCAGTTTTGGCATGTCCGCACCTATGGGTGTAATATAGCGAGATTGAAGGCACCAGTAGACTAGAAATTTTAGTCTGCTCTTAATAGTAACATTATCGCTGATGGTGTAGTTACGAATTTACGGAGAGCAGATGTAAACAGTAAAAAATAGATAATTTCTAACTTAATCCCATTGTTATCAGCTTCCAATGTTGTGTAAGATTGAGGTCATAAGTGATGAGACAGGGAAATGTTTTCTTCTGTTATTTTGTTATCTTATTTTATCTTGACACGCTCGGCCACAGCTTCCGGGTTAATATCAGGCATGGCAAATGCGCCATTAGGCTGTAACCGTCAATTTCTACTGCTATAGACGCCAGTTTTTAATTGGGATACTAACTTCATTTGAAAAATTTTGGACGATAAAACTTGCTTACCATGCGATGCGGTACAAAAATTGCTTAAAAGCTGTTTTAGCTTTAAGTGTACTAAGATTCAACTGAATATAATTTCACGGTAAAAAATAATTTTATTTTAGGAAATTAGCTAGGCAATTTATTGTATTGATGCAAGCAGGTTATAATATTTATTTTTTTTTTCAGTTGAGCTCGAATTGTGGAGGCATGACTACAGAAAGAACTGAAGGAAATGTTTGTTTTGCAGGCGAGGTATGGCGTCTTCATCGTTTGGTGTTGAGCGCCTCTAGCAGCCACTTTGCCAGTCTCCTGGCAGACGTCACCCCTGGGCAGTCACCTCTGATCATAGTAGATGGGCCTACCGCTCATGATATCGCTGCCCTGGTCAGGTTCATTTACTACGGCGAAGTGAGCGTCGACCAGGAACATCTGCCCGATCTTCTCAAAACTGCATCAGCGCTCAAGATCAAAGGCCTTGCTGAGTTTCCGTTTGAGGCTTCAGGGGCACCTGGTGAGCATTCTGGACTCCTGTCTGTGCCGCGTGCTGTCATTTCAACTAACGAAATTATCGATGGCAAGTTTCCACATGCCTCATATCTATCGAGTGCGTCTTCAAGCGCAATTTATGCACCAGACGAGGAGGTTGAACCAAAATCTTATCCTGCCGAAGCACTACCACTGAATCTTTCTTGCAAGCGGGATAGTTACGGAGAAAATTGTTTGAAAGGGCCCTTGGTTTCTAATCCTGAAGAACGTGAAGCTTGTCTTCCACGTTCTGTGCCGATCCCAAATGAAGGCCGCATAAATGTTCCGAATTACATCGGCAGTGATCAAAGAACACACGAAGCCTTTGTTAATGACTCATCTTCAACAAATAGGCGTGATCATGCATTCAGTAAAACGTCACACTTAAGTGAGTCACAACCTTGCATACTCTTTCCTAGGGCCGATGTGTCATTCGGTGAAACTTCTTGTGTTGCTCGAGCTCCGTCTCGTTATATCGTAGCTGATAGCCCTGGTTTTCACGGTAACCTATCCGGATTAAAATTTGCATCTGGAGTCATACGTGAAGTTCGTGCGGTGAGCCTCCCTGAAACAGTATCAACTACTGGGAGCCAAGCATCGCCAAACTTCAATCTAAATCTTCCTTCTGTAACGGTACCGATCACCCAGACGAATTTAGCTCACAAAGAGTCTTCTGTGCTGGTCCTACCTCAGCCTCCGATGAAAAGGTTGCGGACTCGGGAAACTGGTTTGTTTCACTCGCCTCAACCATGCATAGGCGGGCGATCGGGCATCCCTCAAGTTCATCAAGGTGGTCGTTTCTCTCCCTGTTCGACGGGTGTTAATACTTCACAATCATCCACTATAGTACCTTCGACTTCAGGAAATTTGAACAGCCCAATCAAAAGACAGGAAGAGTATAACAACGCTTCACAAGGATCACTATCAAAGGGCGAGGCTACCTCCGAGGGTTTCCAAAAGTTACCTCCCAAAATTTCATCACATTCTGTTTTGGCTCAAAAGTTTAAATTTGTACCGATAAAGACGGAGTTGCCTGCATCCGATGAGAGCGCTAAGTTGAGAAGCCCTAATGAGGCGACGTCAAAAATGACGTTCGTCAAGGGTCAGCATGTAGTCGTCAAGTCAGAATCGATTGCAATCAAAACTAGTCCACGTTCCAGCACAGATGATACATATTCCCCTGGAGATCCAGAATTTGGGGCCAATCCAATTCTGTCATCGGCTTTCTTATCCAACAAAGTTGTACCGCAAGTGTCGCCCCACTCAGTCGGCATACCCACTACTTCGCCGCATAAGATCTCACAGTCGTCGCACGTTCCCAACGCCAATTCCCCTTCTGCGCCTGCTGCTTCGCTGCCATCTTCTGCCGTTTCAAACGTGTTTCCGTCCCTGCCTACCGACACAAAACAACACTTCAGATCAAAATTAGCAGAAGAGATTGAGTTATCCGCTGACTTGCCTTCCCAGTCAAGCTTGGGCAAAGGTACAGACAGGTCCCGAAGTTGCAGCAGTCCGGGGGTGTTCTTGTCTCAATGCATGCCGAGCCAGTGTAATTCTCCAAGCTTTTCCCTGACATCTTCAGTGGCTCCTGCCACGACTACAGCGACCTCTTCTGCGTCTACGTCGCCGGGCTCGTCGACTGTGGCTGCTGCTGATGGTTCCTCGGCGTCATCACAAAGAGTCTCTATTAATATGAGGACCTTCAAGGTAGGATATCTTAAATCTTTTACATTCTTTTCCTACTTTCTAATTGCCTTTGACTGTGAGAGCTGTTCTAAGTTTCGTTAAATTTTGATGTGGTTGTCACAAATTTGTATAATTTCTCGAAGTGGCTTTAGATTCAGTCACTTAGGAGTTGATGAATTTTTCACACATTTATTTCACAGGAAATAAAGTTTTGACTTCGTTCGTGTAAGCATTATTACTAATCTCATTTACCGAACCTACAGGAGGAGTGGAGGAGGCAGCTGCTTGTAGATTACGACACACGAACAAACATGAGCATTTGCATGCTGTGCTTCACTACCTTCAAGTCGTACGATGGGCCACGCAAGAACACGTATGTCAAACATGCCAAGCGTTTCCACCCTACCCTGGACAAGTATGATGAACACGAGCGTGATGTCATCATTCAGAGCTACGAAAGGCAGTTCAAATACGACCAAGATATGCAAAAGGAAGTCAATAAAACGTTCAAGTGAGTTTTTCTTATTTTGAGTGTAGTAAATAGATGCGAGCTTCTATTATTCATTTAAATGTAACTTTTTCCAATTAACTAACAATTATGCTATCGGTTTTATACTTTTAAAGAGTTTATACTGCAAAACGCCATGTAGCTAATAACATTTTGCTAATACTATTTCTCGTGTTAAAATAATGAATGAATGTAAAATATTTTTCTGAACATTGATTTTCATATAATGGCACCGTTCACTGATCTCATCACATGACCTTTAGTGTCACCATTCTCTGATTTCATCACTTGACCAGGTGTGCGACAAACCACTGAACTTGACCCATAGCTATTGATGACTCTACCTACCGAACTAAACACATTATCATACCACTAATGGCATCCCATCCTACTATTTACCTCACTACTAGTGACACCATCCACTAATTTTTCTACATGACCAGGTGTGGTGGAGTAAGCAGTGGCGCCACTAGTGGTCGGCTAGGGAAGGTGTGGCGCATGTCAGTGACGGGAACGACGGGCGTGAATGCCAGTAGTGGAAGCAGCACGGGTAGTGGCAGTCTTCCTGGCAGCAGACCTGACACTGATGGCGAGGACGATGGAGGAGTGCATCATTTGGGTGAGCTCATCTTTTATTTTAGTCATTTTTCATATGTTTGTGAAAATTTCTCTTATCTATAATAACTTATAAAAGTTTGTCATCTCTACTATGTTTATGAAAGTTCGTGACAAATATATTATCCTTATGGAAATTAGTGTCATCTACGATATGTTTATTAAAGTTAGCTACTATATGTTTATGAAATATGTTTGTTAGTTTGAGTTATTGATTGTTTGAAGCCTAGTGCTGTAATAGATATATAGTTGCTATTTCAGCGCGTATCTACATTGGTGTAATTCGAGAGGGAACATACTAGAATGAGAGAAAAAAAATTGTAGTTTTAAATGTGATTTTGCAAATACTAGACGTTAAAATTTAATTCTAAAATATTAGGGATTATTAATCTGTTGTTTTTTTTCTTGATGATCCAACCGTAACAAAATATCTCATATGCGTATTATTGCTTCTTTAATCATTTTCATTATTTGTTTTAAAATTTTCGACTACAGATTAATTACCTTTAACCACTTGTTTGAATAATAAGAATGAAAATTTGAGAGTGTAAAATAAAATAATCATTCGTGTTTCGATTTTTGGAGAGTATCAATTTAAAATTACTACTGGGTAACTCGTCAAAGAAATAATTCAAAAAGTAATAACTTTTAGTGAAATTCCTTTCAAGTACATCGGTCCTTATTTAATGCTTCATTATTCCAGTCACTCGTCGCTCGGAGTCACCTGACAGCGACGGCAGCGTCGACCATCAGGAAGGACCTCCTGACGCCGGTGTTAGCTCGCGACGCGAGAGCGGCGACCGCTCGTCTCAAACATCCACGGCATCCGCACTCAAAATGAAGGCTTTGACCACTACGGTCTTGTCAACTACATCTCCTTCGGGAGCTGTTCGTCCTGAAGTTGCATGCAGTAGTCCACCGACGCCCGCACCTGTTCTTGCCTCCCCAAATGTTGTTATTCCGAACACGTCACAGAATGTTACTCCCGTAACTCTTCTTCCGACGCTCGCTTCAGGGTCTGTCGTGGTCTCAGCTCCATCAACTCGCATGTCGTTTGTATCATCGTCGATGCCGTGCTCGTCGACGTTGGTCTTTGCTAACATAGTGCCGTGTACGACTTCTGCAAGCGGCCTGCACCTCGTCACGACTTCGTCGAAGCATGCGTCATCGGATTCTGCAAACGTTCTCGTCAACAATAACGAAGTGCCGGTTGTTGGGAAAATTGGAGTCAGTATTGTTAACAGTCGCATTGGCCCGCAGCTTCCCTTTGCTACTTCTCCCACGTCTATTCATTTGTCTCCTTCACTTCCTTTGACCGTTCCTGTGCCATCTACTCGAATCAACTCACTAACGAGCTATTCAACGGCTTCATCGCTCGTTAGCTCATCATCTTCCTCTACTATAGTGGGATCTCGCCTCCCTTCGTCTGGAGCTGGCGAGGGCCACAAGACTGTGAGTGGGGCAGAAATACCCGCTTCTTCAAGACCAACCAACGTCGTTGCAGCAGCTGATGGAGCTGACAATAGCACTGCAGTCAAGGTTGCCGCAATGTAACACTACGCTGATATTGCTTGCTGTGATGATTGAACGTTATCTTGGTACAATAATCTTTTTCAAAACTCGTGATACCATAAGCACTGTTTTATCGTAGATAGGTGAAACGTTGCACAATTCGCGCAATATCGCTTGCATATCTCGTACTGGAATTTTGTGCACTGCCATAGGAGTGCTGTTGAAGAAGTCGTTTGATATCACCTTAATTCTTTAATTTTAGCTTTTTAATGATATATCAGGTTTTTAATATCCGTAGATCCGCCAATTTTGTATGATTCACAGTGATGGGTAAATTTATTTGTATAAATTTTCTAGCAACTTTATTGTAAAATTGGTGCCGGTCTTGAGTCCGTAGATAATTTTGCTGGACATAATTATGTGCAGCGAAGTATGTAAAAAATTTTATCGTATGTAAAACATTTATGCAAGAAGTTACAAAAAGGACGTTCAATAATGTCATCGAAATGATGCTAAAAACTAAAAGTATTAAGAAAACATTCGTTTTAAATATTTAAATTAAATTATTCTGTTGCTTATGGAGTATTGACGCAAACTTGATTGAGTAATAATAAGTCTTCTTTTCCTGTCATTCCAGACGGAATAAAAATTTGTGGAATAAGAAGAAAGTATCGCTACTTGAAAATTGCTCAACTCTTGATGATTTTACATAAATTGGATGCCGTAGACGATCTGAAGGCCAGATCGAGGCCCAGCGTCGTACTTAATTGATGCAAATCTTATGCAATAAAAGTTTTTTTTTTAATACGCGGATTTTTATAGGTTATGTTATTAGGACTAACTGTAAATAGAATGCTGTTAACTTGTTATTTTAAGCATATCATAATGTACCATGCTCATATCATGCTCACCGCCGGGCGCTTGTAATCTTATATCATATTTCCATATCATATCTGTGTATCATGTATGTCTATGCCTTGCTTTATGCCGCATTGCCTTCAATTCTTGTGTCCGCGCGCAAACGAACTTCTATTATTAATTGTCCTATGATGTTGGCTTCTCATGCGCTTTATAACTCGTCCTGTTAGTGCCCAGTCTGTTAGATGACGCTTGAAATTATACTGCATTTCTTTTAATGAGCAACAAACCGTTGCTCACATACGCTGCGGATTTCTGTCCAGGTAATCGTGGAGAATTATTTATGTGTTTTCTGTATTTATAATTGTGAACTCGTATGTGGATTTGGTGGGTATAAAAATATTTCCTATTGGTTACTGCAACAGAGCTTTGCCAATGGACTTAGCTACTAGCTGAGATATCGAATTTGGTTGCGTCTTCACATTGTTTCCTGGGAGCCGTTACCATCAAAACCTGCCCCAAACATATTCCAATGTTATTTCTTGAAAAACGCGGGTTCTGTCGATCTTATTTCTGAATCATTTTGATTCTTCTTAATCAAATCTAAATCGCTTATAATGATTCTTCTTAATCATATCAAGATCGCTTATAATCTTTTGTTTGCACGATTGCACCTGAGGAAATTTATTTTTTCCAGCATTTCCGTTTTTTTGTTTTCTTTAAATTAATTTCATTACTTGATACTTGTATCAATTGGGAGGGAACTGAGTTGATTGTTAAAAACCGATTTGAGTGAGCAATTTTCATCAAATCGTGAGTCTAAATTCCATTCATCTGAAAGTTAAGGTTATCATGTCAGTTCTCAGTTTTGTAAGTAGAACAAATTTGTATTTGACCTTTTGAGGTTCAGGTTCTGATGGTAAATTGTGCTCGATGCATATCAGTTTAGTACCTTAACCATATCATTGCAGCACAGCACTCTTCCATCCGCCGCACGTCAGCTTGCCTTACTTACGCTATTGTTGTATTCTGAGTGTCCGTAGTTCTCTGTCGATAGTATGTAACTTGTGTATTGTCTCTTTCAACTTACATGAGACTTTAGAATCTTCTAGTTAGATGTTCCATAGCTCATAGATATGTAATTATTCTAGTAAGAGCGAGTTATTTTCATCACAGCTTTACGGCTAGGCTTCAGTAACCTCTGCCAAAATGTCAAAAACTGGTTGGCAGTTGTGCGAGATCATTCTAACTTTTAGTGAAGGAAAGAAAACTATTTCATTCTGAACGCCATTCATGAATGACGTCTCTCGATCGTTGACAATGCCATTACTTACGGACTACTTGTAACTGTGGGGTGTGTTCCAGCCAAAAATTCTATGACTTCGTTTACGACTTGATGGCTCGGACGATTAAAAATTGTGTTTCAACATGCAAAATCAGATTAAGAATCGTCTGCTACTAGTCAGATTGATTATCAAAACCGGGGACATGTTTACATTTATTATTGCCATCGAAAAGACCAAACAGCGAAATAAATAAGCGAAATAAATTTTACTTCAAGCAAGATTTTTTAATTTATGTCAAAAATTTCTATTGTAACTTGATTCTTGATGAACCTATCGCCTGAAACGCTCAAGACCTTTTTTTCATGGCATTTTATACTTGAAATGGAATTCATGTATTTTTTGTCTTAAAAACTTGATATTTTGACTTTGACAAGGAAACCTTAAGGACTTGTAATTTTATATTTGCCTATGTGCTTACCATTTAATCATTCGTGTATTATTTTAAAATGTTGTATATTGCGTCTTTTGTTTGGAATGGAAAATTGCACTATATTTGATATACGTCTAACTTTTGTACCAAGAACAATGTTGTTTTGTGGCCCTTTTGATCTCCTCGCGCGCTGCATTGCCCCTATACCAACATGGCAGCTACATTTCATGCTACATGTTAAGGTTTAAATGAGAATAATGTGCATTAAGTGTCGACTTCCTCACGTTTAAGTATAAATGACAATAACGTGCATGAAGTTTAGACTTTGTCACAGTCCTCGGTGTTCGCGATCGCAGCATGCAGCGTGGTAGGAGTCTAAAGTACATTGACGTTTGTATGTATATTCCGATTCCCTTCGGTTGAATTGCTTGCTCATTGTACAAAGACTTGTACAGTTCACTTGTTGCTGTCGAGAATATACCCTATAGATGATCATTACTAGGATTAATAGCATAGCTTGCCATACTACTTATAAGGTCTTCTCCTTCAGTAAAAATCTTGGAGCATTAACCATCGAGAAAGCAACTCTTGGAAAGTTCAAAACGAACGGCATTTCAAATCCACCATATCGATTTAACGTCTGAGAAATAAAATCGATTTCTCACCGCTAATGTTAAGAATATTAGTTTTCACGGCTGCCTTATTTATAGTTGGTTTCTATTGATTACCCAAAGAAACTTCGGGATATTTTCTTCATTACGGAAGGATGTTTGCTCAGGATGGCGTCTAACCAAAGACATTTAAGTGTTCTTGAGCCTTCATTGCGCTATGGACGACCTCTTGCCTTAATGCAGGGTACTTTTATTGACTAGTTGTACGACAAAACTCACTCCGCAGTTTGCTTTTCTTGTTTATTATGTTGCAACTTTGTTGCTCAACGCCATTGTCTGACGTTCATCCTGAAACATCGTTGAATTTAATTTAGGAAACTGTAAATTTATATTGCAATTTTTCACATTAAGGGAAACGATTTGTCCAATTGGTTTCCAGTTTTTGCTTGAAGAAGCTTCATCCCAATAAGATCTCAATTATGATATTTTTGAGTTATACCATTGTTTTAAATCTTTACGATTGATGCGGGATTAGTTCGATAAATTGACCTCAAGTCACAGAAAATGTCTCCATTGTGTGAAAAATATTTGAACGACACTTGGCTGAGTTAAAAATTTTCTTCCATTTGGTGTATGATCAGTGTTTATATCAATTTAAATTCATATGCATTTCTTTTTTCTATTATTGATACTGAAGTAGCAAAGGCAGGGTCTATTCATGTACCGTGCCAGGACACAGGGTTTATATTTTGTATAAATATTTGTTCCATTACTATGAAAATATTTAGCTTTTGTTGACGATTTTGATATTGTAGCTAGGTAAGAGTTTGTTGCCATCGATTGTTATGCATCCCGTTAATTATAAGTCCAAATTCATGCGGAACTGTTGCAAGGTATGTCATGTACAACATCTCGTTTATATAATATTTACGTTTCGAAAATAATGTTGCTAGTCTTTTTAATTTCTTGTTGTTTGTGTTCGCCATGAGGTAACGGTTGTTAATGTGGAGTTCAATCGACTCAAAGGAAAGGTTATCAATCTTAGTGGGAAAACTGCTATTAGCTATCTCGAAAATTGCAAGTTTCAACATGGGTTCAGGGTTAATTGTGAGCCATAAGTCTCAGTGTCTGTTGATAATAATTCTCATTCGTGAAAATTGAATTTAACGGCGAAACATATTTCTATTTGTGATGCGTTAACACTTCAGTTGTGATGCATAGAATCATTCTTGCACGCGGCACCGATTCCATACCTTCAATCAACTCCTTCGGAATGGTCCCTTGTTATAATCCGGTTTTATTGGTCATAAAATGAACACTTCCTTTTAAACACTATTTCGAAAAGAGATAGTTCCATAAAACTTCATTTTCTCAATTTGACGATCCATTTATTATGGTTGAATCCAAACCATCTATACTGGTAGGTCATATTCCATAGTAGGCGTGTACGCTTTTAGAATTTATGTTTGCTTTGAGCATTTTCAGTGCCATTTTGAGTTAAGCATAATAATTGATTTCGCAAGAGTAGCCACTTGTTTCTGTTATCAGAGAAGATGTTATTTGATGAGGATTTCCTGTAATTCCTGTAATTTACCGTGAAATTCAATTTATGTTTGTATTTCTATAATAACTAATCAAGCGATGTAAGACTTCCCCAAACTGGAGTTTAAGAGACCTATCCTGATGGCTTCAACTGTGATGCAAATTTATGTGATTCAGATGAGTATTCTTGTTCAGGAAAAGTCCAATTTCATGTTTAATTTTCCAAATCCAAATTAAAATTTAATGCGTATCAATTTCTGGCATTCGAACATGGGACATGGGACTAGTTAAGAAATAGTAGCCAATGCACAAAAAAAAATTTCTACCAATACGCGACGCAAAAAAAATTACTTATTCTACCCAAAAAGTAATTAGCTGCGTTATAATTATTTCTTCCCGCAGTGACGTAAACTTTGTTTACAGATTTCACCAGTTCTCAGCCAAACAAAGCAATATTCTAAATACATGACATATCAATCAAGCATCATCATCTCTGACCCTTACAAAATGTCCATATCATTGTTAGGCTATTTCTAATTTGACGTCTATTTAACACGTGAAAAATATTTTATTACAGACGCTTGCACAAATAGTATATAATTATTATTTGTTCTCTTTTTATTTTGTTTGTCTTTAGGTTATGACACATGTTAGCCTAGCATTGTCCTAGGATAAATACAACACAAGATGGTTAAATACTACAGCTGCTTTGCAGTAGAAAAATATTATTTTAAAATATGAAACCTCGCACTTTATTTGCGATTTTTTTTAAATTAGCACGAAGATTGTGAGAAATTTTGTTGTGTTAAGCGACTTTCGATTCCGTGCTCTACAGTCAACGCAATAAGCATGAGCTAAGTTGAGTATATGTAATATTTTGTTTTGTTGAAAGTTGCGTTGAAACCTGTTAACTGTTTGAATTCATTTAGTTTAACATGCTTTAAAATGTTTATTTTACGAGTCAGAAACACGTAAATAATTTATATAAACCTTACTTCAGAAGCATCATAGAGTAAGTGAATACGAATGCCATCTTTAACGTAGATGAAGTAGTAATTCCAGCAAAATTAACGCATCGATCCTTGTTTTGAGTGAGGCCGGCTGCAGACGGGAATTCCTTTCCGGCTTACGTTGTAAATGAATATTTTTTTGTTCAGAGTATTTTTTTCTTGAATGTTGCATACATGAGAAAGAATTCTTCAGTATATAATATGAAATATTCAGCTTTGTTTCATTGTCCGTCTTTTTAGCGCACTTTCTCATTTATGGAAAAATGCACTATTGTGCTCGCCATGTCCATCCGCCTGTCTGTCCGCCCGTCCGTGACTTCACGTTTTAGTCGACGAGAAAATGCGCTCTCTGTCACTCACTGCAGTGAGTACTGAGTTATATTTTTTCAACTTTGTTTTGTGAATTATGTTTCAAGAAATGTTACCATGTACGAATTAATGAATAGTATGTCACTGAGCTGTACTTGCCGTGACTTGCAATTGGTATAATACACGAACCCTGGCCAATTACTAATACTAGAATGATGTCTTTAATGAGATAAATTGAAGGCAGTGATTAGTGGAGGAAACTAAACTAAAGAACGGTAGCAAGAGTTCTCAGACTCAACTGAATGGTGCAAAAGAACCCAAGCACTGGCTGCTAGCTTGGTTCAAAATTCGTCAGAACTTGTCTATAACTTGCTGCTCTGCATAAATGCACGGACAATGGAAAATAAAACCTATCCAATAATTATACACTTGAGATATATTACCCTACCTTATATGAAACTCTAAAAAAGAACAAAATTCAATAGGATTAGATATACCAACATATCGACCACTAAAACTGCTCGGAGTAAAAGCATTTCAAGAGTTTATTGGCTGGCTCACCTAAAAATAATCCTTGATAATTTTTAATAGCAAATCATCATGGAAGTCAGGGTGGCCAAAAAGCAGGCTCAGTTACAACAGGTCAGAATGGTGACATGGTTTGTAAGAAAGCCATGACAGTTGCAAAACTGCCTCATGGCTATCAGCATATTAAGGTGACTTGGCAAAAATGCGACACTGCCTAACTGGCAATCACTTTACTTTTTACAGTATTTAAGATGTAGTGAACTACAGGGAGAAATTAATGCATGAGGTTTCAACCCCATATTAACTTCTTTCTAAGCCAACATGTGGCCCTAGCAATGCCCCAATGACTCCTGCATAGTCCATTCATTATGCTGGTGACACAGAAGAAAAATGAATGTTGTTTCTTGACTGACTTACACTAGTATTTTATGTAAAAAAACATGGCCTCATTTGTTTGCTCATGTTTGATCTTCAATTAGCCCTTAGGGAATCTTATAGAATGTGCGAGTATACTTGTAATCAGAAGTGTGGTCGTTGCCTCAAAGCAGTAGTTTGCGTTTGTGATGTTCACAACCAGAACTGCGGCCGAACTGGCCGCTGAACGCACTTTGGTGGTGGACGACTCAGGCGAGGACACTAAACCTGTTGATGGGCCTAAGCTCAATGAAACATGGCAGCCTGTGTCTAGTCTTCCTTCATTTTCTTGCGCCTCCCAAAACCCTGCATAACTTTCTTAATATTGGACCCGGGTTTCAGAATATACATTCGTCTCTTGGGGCGGGGAGATGCAAGGTCTGATTCAGCTAAGATTCAAATTTTCATCGTTGAGATGGGGCCAATTTTTAAGTAATTGACTCTATTGCATGCTTTACATTCACGTATGATGGACGAGAACGACGAACAACAAATAATAATGCCCAAGAAAATTAAAGTATGTTAACCCGGAACACAGGAGCGCATGAATGGCCCTGGTATTTAATGTGCTGCTATTGGTTCATCAACGTCGCACGCTGCCGTTGGTTCATTAATCGTTGCTTGTTACTAGATTTGACATGCTGATTTGCTTACTCCTTTCTTACTCTGAAGAAGTCCTGCATATTCCTACAGAAATTTTTAAATTATATCCGACAACCGCGTATGTGAACTTATCTTTATCCATTATTTAATAGCGCGCATTCCAGACCTTCGATGAGCCAATGATTGTAACTTCTAAAATTTTTCCTCAAATGATGTAAACAACCTATTAATATCTATTTCAGTGGTCAATATAATGAATACGTTGAGCTCTGAATCTAGAGATGATAACACTCTGAATAATTCATCAAAATCCTTAGCACCTCGTTCAATAAATGATGTTGATATACAAATTGTGATTAATATTTTTATGTTAGAAAAATGTGGAATGCTATCGTGATGGGCGAGTCTGCCAAAATGACTACAACATTAATAAATTAAGGTTGGGTAAATGAACTTATTTTCATTTAAACATTCTAAAGTTGATGGGAAAAAATTTTCCCTACTAGTCAGGTTTCGCAAATCAAATCGCATTTTCCCAAAGAGACTGTTGCTTATATACATAAAATATAGTCGTCGTTGCCAAGTAATCAAAGCTTACGGTTTGTAATGAAGCTGGGTGCTTCCTCGGGGTTTTCTTACCCGTGTGAGGTACCTTCTTTGAAACACTGTTATCGCTATCAACCAATAATAGCTTTTTAAGCAGGCCCAATTCTGGTAGCGGCTTGGCCGTCCCAACACGAGATCAGGACTCCGCGATCCGAAAGACTCCAGCTCAGCAATCCTACGCGTGAAAAAAATTTTATTTCATGACTGACCAGTCTGTTTGGCAAATACGCTATGATAATCATAGCTGACGTCACATGGTTGGCGGATGGAGCCAAGAGAAAAAGGCCAATTTAGTTCACAAAATACGCCACAAATGGCCCCATTTAAAATGAATAAGAAAGTATTAAATTTATGGTTGGTATAACCGTATGCAGTGCAGGCATTTACTCATAAGGCTTTCACACGGCAAAAATTTTATCTGTAATCGTGCCATAAAATTTTGTTTCATTCAAGTTTTGTATCTTAATTTAATGCTTTTGAATATAATTTTTAATTAAAGCCCAAAAAGTAGAGGAAAATTCTTTAGAATACATTCTGCCATGTCTGTACCTTGTTTTAAATGAGACAGAGGCTCAAAAGGTTGGATAGAAGT